CTGGCTTTGGTTTAAGCAAAAACCCGGAGTATGTTGGAAGGGTACTGGGATGGCTCAGAGAACCCCTGGGGTGCAGGGGTGCATAGTGAGAAGGGCAGGGAGTGGGGACTTAATCGTAGGGGCTGAGGAGGCTCCTCACACACCCTCGGAGGCTCCCTCTCTCTGGATTCGCTGTGGTCTAGCAGTTGGACTCCACTGTTGAAGCAGAAGGCAGCAGACGGGCTGGACCTGGATTTGCCTGTGGTCAGGGAGGGCTCCAGGACAGGCTCACAGCAGAGCGATGGAGGGGGCTGGTGCGGGCCCTGAGTGGAGGAGCTGGGACCCCACAGAGGGGGCTTCAGGCACCAAGATGGCCGATGGCACTTGGTTCTCCCGGGCATGACGAGTGCCCGTCCGTGGTGTGGGAGGGGTGTGGAGATGCTGGTCCTGCCTCAGAGCTCTGGCAGGAATATAAGGCCGGAGGCCGCCGGCTGGGTGAGGAGGCAGAACTGCTCCTCGTCTGTCTTCTCAAGCCTGAGCTAATGCCAGCTCTCCTCCTCTCCCCAGAACCGGCCTTCGGTGATCACGTGCGCCTCTGCCAGCACTCGCAACTGCAACCTCTCCCACTGCCCCATCGCGCACAGCGGCTGCGTGGCGGCCGGGCCAGCCAGCTACCGGAGGGCTCCGAGCTGTAAGTGTCCCTGGGGTGTGGGGCGGGCAGGGGCCCGGGTGGAGGCTCGGGCTTCCTCGTTCAACATGCTTTCAAGTGGAGTTCGCCTTCCTTTTGTCTCAGACGCTGTAGACAGAATAGCTAAGCCCTGGAGCTGATTTCTTATTTAGCTTGAGAAAGTGCTTTTTTGAGCACATAGGCACCTAGCGTTGTGCCTGGCTTTAGGGGGACAGGGAATAAACACATTGGCCCTGACTTCCAGGATCTCACTCTAGTTGGGGGGACAACGAGATCTACCATTATTGAATGCCACTTTCTCGCTGAACCTGTAGCTAGCCCAGGGCAGCAGACATGTTACAGGTTCAGAAAAGTGACCTGCCCAAGTGCCCAGCTAGGCTGGCAGGTCCTCTGTCCCCAGAGCCTGACCTGTCCGCTGTCCTGCTCTCCCGCAGCCACCACCACCTGTGACCCTGTGGTGGAGGAGCACTTCCGCAGAAGCCTGGGCAAGAACTACAAGGAGCCTGAGCCGGCGCCCAACTCGGTGTCCATCACGGGCTCTGTGGACGACCACTTTGCCAAAGCCCTGGGTGACACGTGGCTTCAGATCAAGGCGGCCAAGGACGGCGCATCCAGCAGCCCTGAGTCAGCCTCACGCAGGGGCCAGCCGGCCAGCCCCTCTGCCCACATGGTCAGCCACAGTCACTCCCCCTCCGTGGTCTCGTGAAGGGAGCACTGCCCTTGAACAAGATGTCAGTCTGCATGGTTTGCCTGAGCTTTGAACAGTCAGTGCTTAAAAAATGGGGAAAAAAAAAATGTGGGGGTGGGGTGGGGGGAAGGGAAGGGATGGTTTATTCGCAAAAACCATGTTGTTGGGATTTTTGTTCTGTTTTTGTACTTGCTTGGTATTCGTACACGGGGGGCCCTCAAACATGATAGCAGGAACTGCGTGGGGGAACATCTGTCTCATGTAGCATCCTAACTTCCTGCCTTGGTTACCAAAGAAACCTCTGATGCAGGTCTGCTGCCCAGACAGGGGCCAGGACTCCATGGCGCATGCTTTCTCAGTCAAAAGCCATGACATTGGTGACCCAAATGCTTTGTGCTTGTTAATTTGCTTCTCGAGACTGGGGTGTGTGTGGCTCAGCTTCGTTGTGTGTTCGGTGCAGCCCGTGCGTGTGCGCGCTGGTGTGTGTGCGTCTACTTGAAGAGAGCAGAGAACCGTCGTGTCTGATTTGCACTATTGGAGGAGGACTCAAGTTGCCTGCCTGACAACTTTACGTGAGATGCTAGTACTCTGAGGGCAAACTGCTGGAAAACAAAGGGTTTAAGGATGACATTTCTGGCCGTTTGTGTGTTCTGTTGTTGTTTGTTTTTTAATTTAGACAAAACAGCTTTGAAAGGGGAAGTCTCATACAGGTTATAGGTCTTTCTCTCTAGATTTCAGGTGCTTGCAACTGGACTGCAGACTCCACCAATCACGGGCATTTTACCTTCTCTAAACACTGCAGTTTGTTAGGCTAGAGCTGAGGCTGGAGGATCCCATAGTGCTTTAAACGTGATGCATGTTTTAATGGAGGAAAATAGCTGGTTTCTATTAATTGTATAGACAGTAAACAAAAACCTTAATACTTACTAGCTTCTTTTCAGAATTAGTTTATTTTTGTCAGTTACAGTCCTAGATATACTTACTGCTGGTACAGTTGTGCTCTAAGATTTGTATTTGATATTCACCTTACTCCCAAGTAGTGGGGGCCGGCCGGCCACGGGCAGGCCCTGGAGACGGGCAGTTGAGTGGTTGGTCAGCCTCGTGTAGGATGCTGGAGTTTTTGCTGCAGGCTGACGTCATTTATTGTTTGCATCCCTGTCTGCTTATTACTAGCTCCCAGGGGAGTTGGGATTGGTGTCTTCCAACTGCCCTGGATGCAGAAACTGCTCCCTTTAAACTCTCTTGGCTGAACAGCAGATTACTGACAATCTGTGATATGGTATTTTGTATGCTTCCTCTTACGCTGGGGCCAAGGCAGTATACATTCCTCTGACTTTATACAGTTATTACTGCATTTATTATTGTTTGCTAGAGTAATAGCTACTAACTAGAGATTAGGTGAAGAAGCAAGCATGACAGACACAGCTGTGGGTGTTCAACAGCTGCTCCTCGTGGTAAACGCACGTTTCTACCCCCGCCCCTCCACTGCGCTACATTCCAGCCTCGCCCACCAGAGGGCTTAAGAAGTCACCTGGCCAGGTGACGCAGGTGTGACCACCTCACCTGCGAGGCATTGTGGACTCATGGGAACCCTCGAGGCTGGTTTTCAGTATGAGAAAAATAACAGGATAGCTGGTTAATTTTGAAAATTGGCACTGGGTGAAAAGGTTGAAGGATTGGCTCTTGTGGCCACAGGGTGGCTGCGGGTCTTTCAAAAGGCGCAAGAAAAGCCCTTCTCCTCTTGCCCTGCACACATTTCACTCCCACTTAACTGGGCTTCCAGGCTTTCGCAGTCAGGCCCCTATATTTTCTGTAGGAGAAATCGTTGAGAACACTTTTTTTATATAGGTAACTTTAAGACCATCATTACGCTGTGCGTAAAGAATGTACAGAGAAATTTGTAGGTATTTTTTGAAGAACAATTAATTTGTTAATGATATGTAGCTATTTAATTTTTCCCTTTCCTATTGTAATCATTCATATTTTTGTTTGGAAAAAAAAGTTGATCTTTTTTTGTTGTAGATTTTGTCTGTAAAAGTGCAGGAACACAGTTATTCTATGAGAACACTGCATCTGCCTTAATAGCCACTAGTTTGTTATTGCTACAGGCTACTGAGTGTCGCCACAGGAAAACAACCCCACTGCTGGTGGGCTCTGTGAAGAATGGGCTCCTGGGACACCCCTCTGTCAGCAAAAGAGGCCACCGCTTTGGGAGGAGGTGGTGCTGACGGCCGGGCCCCTGGTGCGCTGACCTATCTGGGATAGGCAGGACCCTGGAGGGGCCTCGGGCAGACAAGGAAGCAGAAAAACCTAACATTTCCCTGGGAAAGGACACAGCCCGGGCCTCAGGAGCACAGTGAGCTTCTTCACAGAGCCAGGCCATCTGCAGTGCGTTCTGACCGTTCTCTCCATGTTTGTAAATCTGTAATATACCATTTTCTGTGGCCTGTTTTTCCTGGAAGAAGAAGAAGAAAAAAAAGGTTTGGCAGGCCATCTTTTTTTTGTACTTAAAAGTAGCCTTAAGAACAATAATAAAGTGCTCTTAAACCACAGACTGTGTGTGTGCCCACTCGGTCCTAGAGTGACAGTGCCGGGCTGGGCAGGGCCTTCTCTGGGAGGCCCCGGGGAGGGTGGGGTAGGCTCAGCGGCCCTGCACCTATGTATGGCGGTGTCCCTATTTAAGCCCCACATAGGCTGGAAAACTAATTCTAATTTTAACTCTAGGAGAGGCATCATTTAAAACCTAACCTACAGCAGTCCTACTCGTGTAAAAGAGTCAGCCTCCACTTTGATTCCAGACCTGAGACAAAAGATGACACCATAGGAATAAAAGCGTGGAGAGGGCACCTCCCTCTCCTGGGTTTCCACAGCCACCTTTGCGGGTGTCTCAGACGAGCAACCCCAGGATAAGGAGGAAAACCAGCCTGAGTGACCTGCAGCGGAGCCTGTCTGAACCCTCCCACCGTCCAAGGGACACCTGGCCACAGACTGAGGCAGACACAGACGGCATCGGGAGCTCCAAGCCACCAATAGGGAGGACCCTGGCGGGGGGTGGGGGTGGGGTAGGGGAAGCAGCCCTTGCTCTGAGGCCTTCTCTGGGCTGCGGGTGTCCGGGGGGGGTGGCAGGAGGGGCCCCACCTGGGCAGTTGCCAGCACCTGGCTCTGAGGCCTGTCTGTCTGTCTCGGGCTCTTCCACCAGCTCAAGGCAGCAGCAGCAACTTCTCTCCTCCCCTGAGCAGGGAGGCTTCGGTGCTGCGCCCACAGCTGAGGACAGGCTGGGAGGTGGAGGCGCTGTTTGGGCAGCAGACTCGGCCCTTGGTGGAGTTCTGGGTTCACTAGGAAGAGCACGGTCCTGTCCATCCCGCAGGAAGCTCAGCTTTCCTTGCTTGCCTCCCTCTCCAGCAGGCCGGGCTGACGGAGAGCTCACAGGGAACCCCAGCCCTCATCGGTGCCCAGGGACTCGGGTGCTGCTGCCCACAGTGGCTACTGGAAGGAGCTGGTTTCTCACTTCCCCTTTTGGTCTATGTTGGGCCTCTTCTCAGTGCTACCCCATGGGGGTGAAGGCAGGAAGGATCCTGGGAGGTTTACTATCAAACAACAGTTGTGACAACAGAGAAAAGAACTGCTCATGGAGGGAATCAAGTCCCAGATAAACGGCAATGCCAAAGCCAAGGTTATTATTTAGCTCAGAACTGGTGGGATCATGAATCATGAGAAATGGAGAACGCCAGAAGGTCCTGGACAGCGGAGGGAGGCTCCAGTCCTCAAGATGTGGAGAGGAGGGGACCAGAAAAGTTGGAGGGGCACAAGGCCCAGAATCGCCAGTCCTGGGGGTGGCAGTCCTGCTCCGGGGTTGTGAGCTCCTCGGCAGGCAGCCAGGGAGAAGCCGGCCACGCGAGGGTGGGCCATGTCAGACGGTCTCATCGTCGCTCATGTCCCAGATCTGCGTGGAGAAGGGGGAGACGTTCAGAGGGTTCACTTGCCTGGTGGTGCCCACTGATGCTGTCTCAAATCACGCAGTTGTGATAACAAGCAAAAGAAACGGCTCCCATGTGTAGATGACACGCTGTGTGCCTCACAACTCCCGTGTCACTAAGGGATTGACACCTCCATTTCTTGTGTAATGAAACCAAATCGCAGAGAAGTTGTTCAGTCACTTACCCAAGGCCTCTCTGGTAAGTGAGCTAACCAGGGTCTGAGCTGGGATTCAGACTGGGGTGTGTGAACACCTCCTCACCTCTCCAGCATCCGCTGCAGGGTGGCCATGCCTGCCCCAGCCCGTCCCTGCTCACTCTTGTTTCAGTAGCACTGACCACTACCCCAAATCATCCTCGTTAATCACCTCCTTCCTACTGCCCATCCGCCCTCCCTGGGGGCAGGGATTCTGGCTTGTGCACTTGCTGAAGGGGGCCCAGCCTGCCTGCGCACACACATCCCGCCTCAGCAGGCTCCCACCCCCAGGAGGACTGCTCCATTGTCCATGTGAATTGTGGGTCCAGGTGCCAGCTGGACTAAAGACCACATGCCCGGGCAAAAGCTAAAGAGCTGGCTGTCCCTCAAGAGTAAGCCCTCTCCCCACCAACCCTGGGGGGCCTGGGGCAGGACAGTGGCGACAGCCAGATCCTGCCTGTGGCCCTCAGTGTGCATCCTTGGGGAGCCTGAGACTTCTCAGTCTGACCCAGGGGTGGAGGGGGCATGAATATGGGGAGAACGGGGCCCCCCACGGCATTGCTGTGAAGAGGAAGGAGTGAAGGGGAGGGGAGGCCCTGCCCAGCTGGCCCAGATAGGCCTGGCTCTGTGGCCATCAGCAGAAATCCCCAGGAGGGAGCTAGAGGCCAGCATGGCGGCCCCTGGGGCTCCTCTCACCCCGGGCTCCCTGGGGGCGCTGGTCCCTGACCTTATGCTTTCAGACTTTCAAAATTCCTAGAATTGGTTGCAAAAGGCCACCTCAACACCAGCAGAGCTGAGAGAAGGAACATTGTGTTTACATGACGCTGGCCAGGGGAGACGGGGAGGCCTGGCCAAGGTAAATATCAACACCAGCTTGGCTTTCAAAGTCAAGGCTGTGGAAAATAAACAGAGAAGGAAATTTCCTCTCTCCTGAGGACCCCGGCTACCCGGGCTGAGGTCTGGTAGTGGGTATGCCTTTCACACACACCCCCCCCAATTCTGCATGGACCCTACTGTCCCAGCACATTAGGATGGGGTGGCAAAGACCCAGATGCCTGCAGGAGTAGGAATGGAGTGTGGAGAAGCCAGGTCTAGGGTCCAGCAACCTGAGTGTGGCGAGGCAGGCCCTGCCCTTCTCTGGGCCCAGCTGCCCACCCACCTCATCCTCAGCATGGCTTGAACCTCCTGGGCCTGCCCCTTGGGTGGGATTCAGCAATAGGGGGCAGGATGGCCGCAAGGCTGTGTTTCAAATGAAGGCTGCACTTAGGAGCCCCTGTAGCTGATGATCTTCCAGTTCTCTCCATCTGAGTGGGGAAACCAGCCACCAGAGGGTTCACCAGCACGGTTCATCATTTCTTTCACTCAGCCCCTCAATGAACACACATTTATGGAGCCCCTCACTGTGCCACGGGCACGCAGACCTGGTGCAAAGGCTCCCTCATTCTTGGGGGCCAGCCCGGTGGCGCAAGTGGTTGAATGCAATCCACCGAGGCGGCCCGGGGTTCACCAGTTCGGATCCCGGGCGCGCAGTGATGCACTGATGCATTGGGAAGCCATGCTGTGGTGGCATCCCATATAAAGTGGAGGAAGATGGGCACGGATGTTAGCCCAGGGCCAGTCTTCCTCAGCAAAAACAGGAGGATTGGCAGATGTTAGCTCAGGGCTGATCTTCCTCACCAAAAAAAAAAAAAAAAAAAGTTCATCTCCTAAGGAAGAGACAAATGATCTCTTTTTATAGATGATTTTCAAGTACAGCTAGAAAATAAATGCTAAGATGGATACAGACAATAAAGAGTATTCAGTAAGATAGCAAGTTACAAAATTAACAACAACAAATTATAGCCTTCCCATATACAAACAACATCCAGTTAGAAAACATAACAAAGGAGAAGAACCCATTATAAGAGCAATGAAAAAGATATATTACTAGGGAATAAAGCTAACATGAAATGTACAACATCTATATGAAAAAACCCTTCAAAGCAGTCCTGCAACAGTCCTCCCAAGAATCTCAAGAAAAGTCAACTGGAACAAATGGGGAAACAGCCCTTGTTTTTGCTGTTTATTGTTGACGTCAATTAGGATGTCAACTTCTCTCAAGTTAATATATAAATTTAAGATAATCTCAGTTTTAAAAAATCAATAATCTTTTTTGGAGCTAGACAAGCTGGTTCTAAAGTTTATGTGGAAAAATAAGCAAGACTATCTAGGAAAACCTTTGAAAAGAAGAGCAATGAGGAGGCTCCCCTCCTATATGATTAAACATGTCATAAAGTCTATAATTTAGAGAGGGCTGCATCAGCACAAGAATAGACACATGGGCCAATGGGACAAAATGAGTCCAGAAACAGAACAGAGTAGAATGTCCAAGTACATATGGAAATTTAGGCATTTAATAATAAAGGTCTGGGCAATGTGATCTCAAATCATTAGAAAAAGATGGACTTTTTAGTAAATGATATGGGGATAACTGGAGTCATTTACAAAAAGATAAAATTGATTCCATGCCTCACACTGTACGTCAGAATCACTTCCAAATGGAACAGAGATCTAAACGTAAAAAATGAAACCATTCAAAGACTAGATGCAAACATGGGTGAATTCCTTTGTAACCAGGGAGTGGGAAGCCTATGACCCAAAATCTATAAGCAATGAAAACAGATAACATTGGATTATGTAAAAACACGTGCAATTTTGCATGAGAAAAACACCAAGTTGAAAAGACAACAAACTGGGAGAAAACATCACAACATACCATAAAGGCTAATCTCCCTAATGTACAAATAGCTCTCAAAACTCGAGAAAGACCAATAAAGTGATTTTAAAGAAAGAGGCCAGAGACATGGACAGTTCACAGAAAAAGACAGGCAAGTAGACTTTAAACATAAGGTGCTCAACCTTACTCAGAATAAGAGAAATGCTTCAATTTCTTAGGACACAAAAAATGGTAACCAGAAGAGAAAAAATTGGGAACTCACAAAAATCAAAACTTATGGTCTCTGAAAGACACCACTATGAAAATGAAAAGGCAAACCACAGACTAGGAGAAAATACCCATACTGTATATAAAAAGGACTTGCATCTGGAATATACCAAGAACTCTCATAGCTCAATAATAAAAAGACAACCTGACTTTTAAAAAAATGGGCAGGGCCGGCCCCGTGGCTTGGTGGTTAAGTGAGCGCGCTCCACTGCTGGCGACCCGAGTTCGGATCCCGGGCTCCCACCGGCGCGCTGCTTCTCCGGCCATGCTGAGGCCGCGTCCCACATACAGCAACTAGAAGGATGTGCAGCTGTGACACACAACTATCTACTGGGGCTTTGGGGGAAAAAATAAATAAATAAAATCTTTAAAAAAAAAAAAATAAATAAAAAAATGGGCAAAAGATTTGAACAGACACTTCACAAAAGAGGAACTACAATGCCAATATAGTTCCTAAGGATGCTCAGCATCCTTAGTCTTCAGGGACATGCAAATCTAAACCATAAAGAGACAGCACACCCCACCTTCTAGAATGGCCAAAATGAAAAAGGCTGGCAACACCAAAGGTCCACGAGGATGTGGAGCAATGGGAACTCAGACTGCTGCTAGTGGGAGTGTAAACTGGCATAACTACTTGAGAGAAAGGTCTGGGGACTTATACAGTTAAACACGCTTTCCATGTGACCCAGCCATTCCATGCCTGTACCCTGAAGAAATGAAAACACATGTCCACAAAAAGACCTGTGCAAGAGTGTTCACAGCAGCTTTATTCATAAGAGGCACAAACTAGAATCAACCCAAATGTGCATCCACAGGCAGAGCAGCTAATTGTGGTACCCGTACAATGGATGGGACTCACCATCAAAAGAACAAGCCACTGTTACACGCAGCAACATGTCTGCATCTCAGAACCGTTGTGCTGAGTGAAAGAAGCCCGACACAAAAGACTACATAGTGTGTAAATCCATTTATATGAAATTCGATAAGGGACAAAACTAATCTATGGTGACAGAAAGTTGATCATCTGTCACAACTCACCAAACTGTATACTTTAAATGGGCGCATTTTATTGATTTTTTCAAAAGCTGCACAGGGGCCGGCCTGGTGGCTTAGCGGTTAAGTGCGCGCGCCCTGCTACTGGTGGCCCGGGTTCGGATCCCGGGCGCGCACCGACGCACCGCTTCTCCGGCCATGCTGAGGCCGCGTCCCACATACAGCAACTAGAAGGATGTGCAACTATGACATACAACTATCTACTGGGGCTTTGGGGGAAAAAGGAGGAGGATTGGCAATAGATGTCAGCTCAGAGCCAGTCTTCCTCACAAATAAATAAATAAATAAAATAAAATAAAATAAAATAAAAAGCTGCAGAGAACCTTTTCTCACCTATCAGAATGGCAAAAATCCCAAAGCTTGACAATATCTTGTTTGTGGCCCTGTGAGAAAACAGCACTCCTACAGTGCTGGTGGGACATCAATGGTACAACCCCTCCAGAGGAAAATTTGGCAACATCCAACAGAATCACTTATGTCTTAAATTTTGACCCAGCAAGCTCATCCTTTTTAAATTTTGCAATAAACACAGGAATGATAAGCTAGAAATTAATCTACATGGCTACATACAGGGGGTGGGTGGGACGGAGGTGAGACTGCTCTGAGGATACTTTTTATCTTTAGAATCAAGTAAATGTTTTACATATTTAAAAAGTTAAAAGGAAAAATAACGAAAAGCACAGCCACAAAACAAAAATAGATAAATTGGACTTCACCAAAATTAAAAACTTTGGTGC